TTATGACCACAATTTTTGTTTCAGGCAATTTTTCTAATTTTCAAAGCAACATATTTCGCACATTTTCTGAAAAATCCAAAATATTCTGTTCAGTGAACTTTTTTCAGTCACAATTTCAGAGAGCTGAAAAAGCTATTTCAGTATGGTAAGGGTCACTTTGACCATGTCCATTGTGATCATGGTCATGTAAATAATATATGGGAGTAGTAAGCAGAAAGTTATAGCAGAACTCTGTTATCTTAGTTCAAAAAAATCTAAAATCCACATGTTTTTTTTATTTCCTGTTTGGTGTCCTGATAAGTACCCCGAGACTTTAGCTATAATAACATATTTTTGCGCTACGTCAAATTTCAAATCGCTTTGCTTAAGGTGCCATGGAAGTTAACAGGAAATGATAAAACAAAAAGTGACAAAACCATGCTGAATTTTCAAAAAATTTTGAACCAAGATAACAGAGTTCTGTTTTGACCTCCAGTCAGTTTAACTAGTTCCACATATCATTTACATGGCCAGGATCACAATGGATATGGTCAGAATGACCATAAACATGGTGAAATAACATTTTCAGTCCTCTGAAAATGTAACTGAAAAAAAGCTAAAAGTAGGTGCTCAGGAAAGGTCAATGAACAGAATCTTTTGTTTCTTTCAGAAAATGTGTCCAATATATTGTTCTAAATGATACTATCTTTGAAATTTTAAAAAATTGTCTGAAACAATAATTGCTGTAGTAAAAAGGAAAATAGATTGATTTTTTTTTTCTTTTTCTAAGAATGATATCAATTTTTTTTAAATTGTATCATTTAGAGCAATACATTGGGCACATTTTCTGAAAAAGTCAAAATATTCTGTTCAGTGACCTTTCCCGAGCACCTACTCTTACCTATTTTTTTGATTGTCATTTCCTGTTAACTTTTATTGCACCTTAAAAATATGCTCTTATATTTATAGATATTATATTTCATCGATCATTTCTAAAGTTCTTTTCACCAAGAGTGGCCCTTTCTTCTCTAAATTCACTGTTTTTAATTAGGTGGAAGTAATATGACTCCATGGAATGTATCACTATGATTCCCTACATAGACCCGAAGTGAAGTGGTCATGTAAATTATATGTGAAATTAGTTAAGGTGAAATTAAAGTTAATCAAAAGTACAAAAAGATGGCATCCATATTTTTTTCATGAAGTCAGAAGATTTTGTATAATGTTTTCCTTGTATGTGCATGCATTTCCTGAACTTTTTCAAAACTATGAATTGGAGGTGCATGGATCCCCAAAGCTATCATGAAGACTGTGAAGTGAGGCTAATTTTTGAAAGTTTCAAGGAGTAGCTTTGCAACAGTCACATATTTGCAAGAATCCCAAATTTCCACAAATCATCTTACCTTACCAAGTAACATAGAAGGAGCATGGAAATGTGCACTTCTTGCTTTGTTAGAGTATGATAAAGCTCAAACCATAGTTTCTTATAAATATTTCATGTCCACCATTTTGTTTGCTGGAACTACTTCTAGACTTCCTGATTAATCCTCATACAAGTTTTGTGACTTCACCAAGTGGCACGGATTATCACAAGTATATTTTATCTATAACAGTATAATTATCATGATAGATACACGATTGAGGCTTTATAAATGATAAACAATGGATATATGAGTGAGGATTACTTTGAACTAGAAAATAGTCCCAGTAAACAAATTAGTGTACATGACATATTTAGAATTCACACTGGTTTGAGTTTTATTATACTCTAACAATGCAAGAAGCATACATTTTCATGCTCCGTTGATGTTCCTTGGTAATGTTAGATGATTTGTGGACGTTTTGGAGTCTTACAAATGTGTTTCCATTGCAATCCTACTCCTTGAAATTTTAAAAAGTTATCCTCACTTCACTGTCTCCATGCTAACTTTAGGGACCCATGCACCTCCCAATTCATAGCTATAAAAATTGTGTTTAAATGTGAAGTTTTCTGTGACATGTCTCTTTAGTCAGTCGGTGCAATTACATATAAGGAAAACAGATACACAAAATCTTGTGACTTTATCAAAAAAATAAGACTGCCATTTTGTACTTTTGATTAACTTTAGCGTTACCTGAAACAGACTGGAGGTCAAAACAGAACTTTTTTATCTTGGTTCAAAAACTGTTTAAATCCATCAACTTTCCCCAAAGTCAGCTCATGAATATTATAATTAGCAAACCTGAAATCTCTGAAGTCAGAGTAGGGCAGATTTTTGCGGGAAAATCTGAACACATTAGAAGTCAATGTGAATCGTGGCGGAAACGGGTTAATTTTATTGTCAAATTATCTTGAGTAGTATTAATATTAATGATAAACGTTATGGAATTTAATAATTATACTCAAGTCTATATTCCCCCTTCTTATATGTATTGTTCTGGGTAATCAAATAAATAGAGAAATATTGATGTGAAGAGTTCAATGTTTCCTGTACATTTTCAAATTACACCGACTGTACAAAACCCCATGTTCAGTTCTTGACTGTCAAACTGTCAACATCCCATGGTAATCTTAAGTTCGTGTAATATTTTCTCATGGGGTGAAGAAGTGGGTACGGCTTAACCTTGAAGAAAAAGTATTCGACTCTCCGATCTTGGCCAACGGCGCGTTACTTTCACTTCTGTGCAGCCATGACAATGTTACTTTTATGTCTGCCGAAGAATTTGACAATGTTTACGTGAGTACTAGTGAGAGATGATGAGGCCGTTCATGTATGCTTTGAAACAATGTACCAGAGTTCCTTGTTTTACACACGATCGTCTATTTGAAGAGACTTGAGCTTGAAAGGCCCACGGGCGTTCTTTTAAAAATCTAACTTTTAAGAGAATGTTCAGGGTATTTTGGACGTAGACCTACAAGAGAGAAACTCCGACAATTCAAGCCCGTGGTTAAGTTACCTGCGGGAGCGGTTTCCGTACCAATGGGGAGCTTTTTGACACTTTTGGCAAAAAGATCATGCGTAAAGTGCTCAGAATGGTGAAAAACTGCATGATTTTGAAAGAATTTCTGGCTGGGGGGAGCGGCCGCTCCTTCCGCTCATCCCCCCCCCACCCCTTTTGCTACGGGCCTGTGATTAAGCTTAGAATTGCAATTAAAATGCAAACTACTACAGCATGATGAATATTAGTTACTTCAATACATAAATTGCAAAAATACATGACCGATCGCAAATTATTTGGGCAATCCGATGAAAAAATGCAAGTGGACTCTGACATTTAAAACTGTTCTTCATATATTTTTTTATTAGAAACATAATGAACTATTTAATTGAATAATCATGATAAATGTATATTTCTAATCCATACAGTCTTATTGTTTGAATGATTGTCAATCCTTTGGATTCACTTAATTAAAAGACTAGCACTCGTATCATATATTTCTATGATATGATTTACCGGATGGGGTATTTAAGGTCAGGGTGCATGATGAAAAATATTCTGCATTCCTCAATTGAGTCACATGTTATTTTTCAAACAAGAATCACTCCTTCCCAAAATTGTCTATATCTTCCAGTTTTGCACAAAGAGTGCACTTATGTGCCTAGAAAAGACTTGTGAGAAGAATGTTTTGATAAAGTGTATAAAAAACTAGAAAATTCAGTGAAAAAATTTAGAAAATTTTCAGAATTTTTTTTCACTGAATTTTCTCGTTTTTTATATATTTTACAAAGCAAATCTTCTCAGAAGTCTTTTCTAGGCACAAATATGCACTCTTTGTGCGAACTTGGAAGATATGAACAATGTAGGGAAGGAGTGATTCTTGTTTGAAAAATAACATGTGACTCAATTGAGGGATGCAGAAAATTTCCCATCATGCACCCTGACCTTAAGACACAGCTCAAGGCAAAATAGTCAGAAAATACATTTCACTCAGTTTTGTTATCATTTATAATGAGATCTATTTCACTCATTCGGCGATCTAATAGTAATTGAAGTTTTGGCGCGAAATGGCGCCCTGCTTTGACGTCATTGATTTTAATCGACCAATCAGCGCAGCAGTCAAATTAGTCCAACAACATTCGACCTAGCCTGGGCCTCGTTTCTTATCTGACATGTCTTATGGCTAGGTCTAACCTCCATGATCATTTTGCCCTTGATGCGTTAATTTAATCGTTCCGCAGGTTTCGACAAGCGGAACTAATTAAACCCTGAAACCATGGAAATATTACAGAAAGAATGTGATTCAAGCATGCATACATACCTTATGAATACATACACACCATCCCGCATCCCCCTTAGAACCTATTGATGCATAATTACGAAAATATTGGAGACAGGTTTGGAATATAACGAAATTGTCGGTCAGTTTCGGTAACATCGAAATTGCAAATCGTATCAGAAATTAACCGTCATCGCGGCACTGCATTCACAAACAGTAGGATTGCAATTAATAACTATTTTGCGTGTATACACGCGCTGTATAAATCAATCAAAGATACCTGTTATCCTCAAAATTTATCGTTTAATGCGAGTTATTGCGATAATAATTATCAATCTATTTGACAACAATTTCGTTTCGCTAGTAGTTTAATTTTACGATCCGGGACACTCGGACGAACAGACACAATGACGGACATGCGGAAATGTCATTTTAGAGATCGGTAAGTGTAGTCTCATTTTACGAGTATAAATGAACATTTAACACAATAATATTGTGTTATATCGCTTGATGTTATGTGTTCTTATATTATTGTCAAGTATCAATTGCATGTTATCGCGGCAAAATGGTTTCGATGGATCCAGAACTTGCATCAAAGGAAAGAATAGTAAAGAGGTTAAACTCAATAACGGCCCCAAGAAAATTCCTAATAGTGAAGAACGCCGTTATTGAGTTTAACGACGTTGAACTACAGTCAAATGAGCACACTTTGGACTGGGGAAAGGGGAATTGAGTATTACTTTTTTCAAATATTTTCCGCCATTTAGGAAATAATTTGGCTTTATTCTTAATCAACACAATGTTTTTAATATAATGTATTTACCTAGAATTCCTGGGATTGACTGGAACCTTTTGCTTTGCTGCTTGTCTTCTTCGGTAGGAGAACAGCTTGAATATTAGGCAACACACCCCCTTGGCTAATTGTCACACCCGATAGTAGCTTATTCAGCTCTTCGTCATTACGCACCGCGAGCTGAACGTGACGTGGAATGATGCGACTCTTCTTGTTATCCCGAGCAGCATTTCCTGCAAGCTCGAGAATCTCCGCGGCGAGGTATTCCAACACAGCAGCCATGTAAACTGGGGCTCCGGCTCCTATTCGTTTAGCGTAGTTCCCTTTGCGAAGCAACCTGTGTAGCCTCCCAACAGGGAACTGAAGCCCGGCTCGAGAAGACCTCGATCGAGCTTTATCACCTTTTAATTTGCCTCCTTTTCCACGGCCCGACATGTTTGTTGAAGGGTGGGTAAACAATATAGTAAATAGCACTAAATGACCTACACCGAGGTTATAATGTTGATCACGTGCATAGTCATGGACAGGACTTGCGCTTCACGTATTCCAATCGTCCGTTTGATTAAAGCGACCGTGATCGATTTTTATTAGGCCACACGCCCAGTGTCCACACAAATCGGGACGGAGGGGTGTACACTAATGTTACATACTATGCTAGTGTTCATAATTGATCACCTCGTTTCTTTTTACTGATAGTTCAATCACTTGTATATATATACAAGTGTTACATACTACAGAGTGTCGCAAAATAAAAGTTTTTGAATGCAAATTATCATGAACATCATTCTCATCTTATAGGAAGCGCAAGGGTCCTTATACTGATCCTCGAGGAACTCCGGCATTAATGACTTAATTGTTATGCAAATAATTTGGATCATTTGTGATTGTGACATTGTGATTTATACTCTAATAGTGCTAATAGTGCTTATATGCTAATAGGCACCGAAATGGACTTTTCGCATTGTGGCTAACCTCATACAAATTAAACATAGCAGTAGGGGGTCTAAAATCTAAATTCGATCAATTGAGCTGAGATTTTCAGTAGCCATTGGTCATATAGTAGATCATTTTGTCAATAGGCAAGGGTGATCCGAGAAAAAGGTCGTAATATGTACACCGAGATTTCATTATGTTTTATTGTACTAAATTGAAAACATATATAAAATATGTAAAGTCCTACTTGTATATTCTAGATATAAATGAATCATAATATCAAGTATCAATTGAAGATGTTTTAAATGCATTGATATTTGCTTTCTATCGACACAAGCTTTTTAACTGTATGCTGCAAAATGATAACATTGACCACGTCCACTTTCCAGGGGTAGGGTACTATTAAGTCATAGTAAAGACGTACAATCTGGACTAGTAATGTGTGTTGTAGAAAACAGAACAATACCAAATATATCCTTTATGTTATTAAATAATAATCTTGTCCCTGACATCGTATGGATCGTACTCCAATTAAGCCGTAAAATTTGTTTTACCACTTTAAAGCCCATCATCGTATATTCTCTTACACCTACATGTACTAGGTTACTCTAAAATATTGCCAAATGTTATTTCTTGCAACATTCCAGTGCCAGTTACTGATACAATTTAATCGATAGGTCTTACGTACAGGATTCGAACCATATCATTTTAAACACTACCATTCACAATATTTCAAATATTGACCCTGATCAATTCAAGTACACATTTTAACGTTTCTGAGGTAGTACCTGCGAATACAAATTGCTGCCGTTCATGGCCAATACACTGGAGTAAATCTGTATTATTCCAGTTGCGCAGTGTTTCCTGCACGCATGCATCTTCTCCCCTCCCTACTATATCCTTTATACAATACATAAGCAATACATAAGCATACAATAAGTACAAATATTGTAAACATATATTAGCTCCACTTCTTAGTCACCTGTGCAATTTATCTTTTGTAAATGGCATTTTCCCAGATATTCTAAAAACAGCTAAAATTACCTAATTTTCAAAAAGGGAAAACTTAGTTTATTCTCAAACTACAGGCCTATTTCTCTTCTTAGCATCTTTTCAAAAGTGCTAGAGAAACTGCATGCATAAAAGACTCATAGATTTCACAATAAAACAGAAAATACTGAGCTCAAGTCAGTTTGGTTTTTTACCAAACAAATCAACTTATATAGCAATTTTAACTTTTCTTGAAAACCTCAGAACATCTCTCGATGATAATAACTTTAACATAGGACTGTTTCTTGACTTATCCAAGGCATTTGACACTGTTGATCACAAAATTCTACTTGAAAAATTGATTTGTATGGGTTAAGGGGAAATGTAAAAAATTGGTTCACTTCCTACTTAGAAAACAGAAAACAGATCACTTGCTACAATAACACTTAATCAAATCAAGATGTTATTAAATGTGGTGTACATCAAGGGTCTATACTTGGACCGACTTTGTTTTTAATGTATATTAATGATATTACTTCAACCTCAAATCTTATCAAATTTGTATTATATTATCTCTCAACTTAGATAAAACTAATTTCATAATTTTTACTCCAGGCAGAAATTTAATCCATGACATAAATATACATATTGACAATGTGCCAATAAAAAGAGAAAGTAGTGTTAATTTTCTTGGAGTATTTATTGACGAAAAGTTAAATTGGAAAAAGCACATTCAGCATATTACTAATAAGATATCAAGAATAACAGGCATTCTCTATAAAGTAAGAGACATCCTTGATCATGACTCTAAACGTATATCATTCATTAATCCTTTCTCAAATTAACTATTGCAATATTATTTGGGGTCATGTTAAAAAGAACATACTTACACCAATACATCTTATTCAAAAGAAATGTATCAGACTGATTACAAATTCACATTTTAGAGAGCACACTGCCCCTTTATTCAAAATAGAAAACATTTTGACAATTTTTGATATTTATCATTTAAATGTTGCTACATTTGTATATAAATGCTTAAACATACCATCTGGCTTTCCTATATACATTTTTAAAGATTATTTTAAAATTTCCCAACATGGCCATGACACAAGATCTAAACACCTTTTAGTCCAACCTAAATACCGCATTAAGTTTGGTTGGAACTCACTTAAATATATTGGACCATCATATTATAATAAACTACCTAATGAAATTAAGCACAGTATCAGTACAGTTATATTCAAGGCAGCACTTAAACATCATATTATATCAACTTATTAATTTATTATATGTAACTCTAGCAGACTCTACCATCCCACTTTTCCTGCATTCCTGCACTCCATTAAAATAATTGCATTTACAAATATTGACTTTTGATCCTTGAACTACAATATACGCTTTGCGTCAAATTGTATATGATTAAATGTTATGTAACATGTTAAAATTGGAATAAACTTAAACTTAAACATGATTTGAAAGCTGTCCTATGACGCGCAACTGATATTCAAGGGATCATATGAAAATATTGGACGGCCAGTAGTGCCATCATGACTTTGTTCGACATACTGCTGTTTTTAAATTACTGTATATAAACGTCAATTTATTTTTGCTGGCACTTGATAAAAGGCATAGTTTTTGGACGGTTTATAATAGTCTCTTGTAGCTGCTACTTTTGTGATATCACAATCTCGAATAGATGAGTTGGGTAGCTGAAATAATAATCATTATGGTCAATATTATACAATATGGTCAATATTATACAACGTGGTCAATATCATACAATATGGTCAATATTATGCAACATGGTCAATATATTACATAATATATTAGAACGTTCTTTGTACTAATATACTAGTATATATATATCCGTGGAGGAGTGCAGTCGAGAACTCGAAAGAACTAATAGTACACAAGCTTTGTTTCTTAACACACGTCCTGTTTATCAATATATCTATTATGTAACTTGTCGAAAAATGGTCGATAATTATGGAATAGAATAGGGGAGAACAAAACACTAAAGCGATATCAAAAAATCATTCAGATTTTTGAGAAAAAAGAAAAGTTCATAATTATACGTGGTGATCATAAAGTCTCTTCACGCTTTACATATACTTTGTATTGTAATTGTAATTGCAAAGAAACTTTAAAGGGCCTTGAAAAGACGATCTTTGAGATGTGTACCTGGTCTAGTTTAGAGTATGCAGGGTGGGGAGAGTCCCCTTTATATGGACTATTGTCAGCTCTGTTGTAGCAGCAAAGATAGCCCCAGCGTCTGTCTGCACTGTTATTCTGGTCACTCCTATGTAGGATGTTACAGTGGAAGAACATGGCATCTCCAGGGTCCAACTCTGGTTGGATGACAGGACAAACTTTGGAGATCTCTTCCACACGGGCAATGTCTGCGCCAACTTGTTTTCCGACTCTAATGTGATCTATACGCCCTATCTTGTGAGAACCTGGGATGATCTATCAAGGATAAAGTTAAGGTTGTTTCAGACACAACACATTGATTGAGACAAAAATGGAAAGTTTCAATTTCTATATTTTGAAAACATTGGATAAGACAACAATATATATAAATCCAGCTCAGCTAGCTCACGGATAATTTAATCATTAAATGAAACCATTTCATGAAGCTGGCAGTACCTTCAGACATCCGTTATTTTTGTCAGCTCTATCGATAGCAATCCAAGTTGTCCCCATATTAGGAAATATGCACCCATAGTTATACCAGTAACTAGAAAATGGGATTGGTATTCATGAATCAATTGATACTGATATTACAAAGGTAATAACAAAGAAAAGAACTCCACAACAATCGACCCGGAGAAAAAATCCATAGCAAAGCATTATGTAAAATCCAAGGATTATACAATCTACGGATGAAATGAAAGAAAACGTTGAGACAAAGGGGGCTATTGTACGAGGCCCGATCAGAAAGTAAGTAACCAATTGCTCTTATTTCTTCATACTTTATTCAATCACATTGAAATTTTCACAGATGATGTAGAAAATATTTACCTATTTAACAAGACCAAGGACAATGGGCTAGCATCAACTCCATTGTTATTGCTGTTGCTATGTTGACAATTGTTTTGGGTAGGTGGGAAACCCTGTTTTAAGTCGCGTTTAAAGATAATTTATAGAGTTTTTCTACATGTTGTGATACCTCTAAATATATCAAATTTACACGTAAGACTACATTTTAACTCATAGTTCTTCAAATTAATCACCACCAAAGTCAATGCAGTCGAGGCAATGTTTCACTCTGTCCTTAAACATGTCATTACCCTATGACTGCAAACTGCCATTGAAAGCTTTAAAGTGTGCGCCAAAGTTTAAAACTGCGCAGGCGCACCGCTCTCGCTAAACTATATAAAGAGATTACCGGGTACACGATTCAGAGGTAAGCCAGGAAGGCGAACGATCTTCGTCTCGTGATGATTTCCCATATAATCGTAACCAGGGAAGTTTCACCATTGAAATTGAAAATTACTATTAGATATACTTTATAGATGTTATTTATGAAGCTATTTAGTGTTTGCATCAATCAAATGGCTCATTTTGAACATATAAAAAGTATTTGTGTTTTGTTTCCCAGGGAATTGTATTGTATGTAGTACACACATAAATAGTGTACATTATACAGTACTTGAATAGCCTGGTTTACATAATATTGAAGGGCATGTAAAAGCTGATTACATGCACACGAGTACATCATGATAAACCATGCCATCTCAAATCTTCTCAGCCCATGACACGAGTACATGAATGAAGGCCTAATATTGATATACGTAGCTTGCATACCTAAATAAAAAATAAACTCTTCTAATCCCCTAATGTAAACACGGCGGTATACGTAGCCCGATTTATTGGGGACTTTAATGATAGCTTTATTGCTGTCCAAACGGACTCTCAGTAACAACATCTTTGCAAGACCTTAGAATTTAGTCACATGGGGAATAGTCTGGGAATTAGTGAGCATATGGTAGTTGTATGACCATGGAAAAGGTTTAATCTATTGTATCTTCGGTAATGCTGGCCCTGTGAAGGTGGACCATTATCGTCATGCCAGTAAAATCCCCCTTCAACAACATTTGACTGGATTGAAACTTTGAATGAACCATGACCATCATTATGACAGGTGTACCCTTGATTTCTCTGTGTCAATGACTTATAAATGAGACAATGGAGCGTAGAAAACATTGCGATAATACATAGAACAAATTATTCAGTCTTACACAAAAAATGCTAGGTCATATGGAGGAATACAGCATGTAAAAAACTCTACCAAATATCTTTCAAAGCCGCTTACAAAAGGGTGTCCCGCTTACCCAAAACAATCATTACCATAGAAACAGCCATAACAATGGCATTTACGCTATCCCAATGTATTAATATTTTCTTCATCATCTGTGAAAATTTCAATGTGATTGAATGGAATATGAAAACATGAGACCAGTTAGTTACTTACTTTCTGATCGGGCCTCGTACTTAATGATTTAATGAGCGATTGCTATAAAAAGCGTGAACAGTCACAATGTTCTCACGACCCATAATCCGTCTGCTACAAAGAACCAAATAACTTACCCATAATCCTGATGCCAGACAAAAGCACCTCCCGTGAAGGCATCCTTCATGATGAGCTTCGCATGGTATTGATAAACCTCCCCTCTGAGCAACTATGATATCAAAATAAAATGTTCACATCACATGCCTCGTTTTTTCGATGGAACTGATAAATAATTTGATTTTCCTGGAAACCTTGCATGGGCACAGATTTAGGAAAAACATAAAATATTTTAATATTGAGAAATGTCAAAAAAATCATTGTAAAAATATTACTGTCTAAATTCATTCTGCGTATTAAATCTGGTCATTTGTCGTGTATACATGTATATTTTTATCATTTTATATAGTATACATTTCTGACCTACTGTAACAACAGAAAAAGAAAACCATTAACATTCAATCAGAACAGAAAACCAAAAAGACGACATAGGAAGAACTCCAAAGTTTAGATATACACACAAAGATGTGTTCTACCTTTTCCCACGTGCCTGCCATGCGTTTACTGCGGGCGACGACACCCAGAATGTCATCACTTGGGTTATTCCACACTGTCGCTCTAGCCTGTTTACCCTCCCCGTCATCCTTGTCGACCTTGTGATCCATTATACCCTTGTCGGTCTCTAGAAACTGGCGGAGTTTCTGAGTATCATCGTTAGTGAGTAGACCACGTAAAATGATGTAACCAAACTCATCAAAGTGCGTCTTCATCTCGTCTGTCACTTCCCAGTCATCGCCAGTATATTTGAAACCTGATACCGGAAAGATACAATTTAGCATTGATAATGACCATCGTAAGAATTATCTAGTTATATAAACTCTGTATTTGAATACTTGAGTTATGTATTTGTGATTAAATTGGCCCTTTCGTTGTCTTTGGCGTTATTATTGTTAAGATATAATTAGGTATTATAGAAATTGAGACCTTTTATTTGTAATCTTCACGTCAGTCTAAAAAGGCAGAATATAACCGTATTTAAACCTTCCCTACATGATCGGTATTTGATTAAGTAGAAGTGATGTTTCATTTGAAAGTCATGTCATCAAATTATCTAATTAATATAAAGGCAGACCTTGTATATTTTGCTCCATTTCAATCGGTGGTGTGTGTGATAAATTATTTTTGAGTTGTTATCAACGAATGTTTTAGTTTAGAACATGACGTGCATGTGGACGTCAAGGTCAGCATGCCATAGTACACAAAATGATGATAAGATAAACTAGAGGTAACGCGACCGACACAGAAACATATCCAAATCGAGGCTGAAGAAGATGTTTCAAATGTATGGTGTGATAGAGTATGCTATATTCTGCCTTTTCATTGCAATAAAACTATTACAATTATATCTAATTATATACACAAGAAGTATATTTTATGGATATTCTGCTTTTTTATCGTGGTATGAATTTTGGATCACAGGCTGGTATCGAAAAATTTGTCCGCTGTGACAGAGCGTGTTATTTTACATAGAAACACTAGGAAATCCACACAATTTATTTTTTACTCATATGTTTCAGTATATCAAAGAAGATTACCTACTCCATGCAATGAATATATCATTTGCGAGTAATTAACTTTTAAACTTCTGTTTGAAGTTCAACAACGCTCAGAGTAAAAGCTATTGCAAATGGGGCCGGGGTATCATACTCCAAAATGTACCATTTCTTTTATTTCTTTTTAATGGTACAACATAGTGACACGATATTATTTACATATATTTTCAGCATAACTCTGAAGGTATTAATGAGATCTTGATGTATTGGGTATTTTTAATTTTTTTTTATAAAAATAGTGTTTAAATTTTTGTCCGCTGTGACGGGGCAGTTTCAAATCTGAAATACGTTTAAGAGTTATCGATTTATAATATATTTTACAACTACACTTTAGTGGAGTGAACGTGTCAAATCTCTTTCGTATTTAGTATTCTGAAAAATGATACGACATAAAAGTAAACAATTGAAATTCTGAGATGTATATAGGACCTCTCTTTAAGCTTTTTTTCTTAGTTTGTTCCGTAATCCAACTTCTGCATGGTAACTCATTAAAATGATAGTCTACTTCCTTTCAGTATAGGATATTTTGTAGTGCCTACTGTGGATCCATCACCTGACATGGTCATTTTTACGGTAACTTGATTAGTTGAAGTAAAATTATTTAATGAGGATGAAGCTAAATACATAAATTGGTATGAACTGTGGATTGTTCTACCCTCTATAGTCGTTCCAAAAGGTAAGTGGGGTGTATCTTGAAATAAGAAAATGCTAAAATTAGATTTTAAGATTGTTCTTTATTTGAATAAGAGTTAGGGTTATCTGATGCGACTCCAGTAAAACATGTGTACAGTGAACATTATGGAGCCCCCAAAATGTGATGTTCACTCAATAGAGGAAATTTCATACAAAAGTCAAATCAATGTTCATCGATACATGTTTTACCGTGCATCACGTTTACCAAGACTTTATTGGGATCATCTTACATACCGTAATAGTATGTGGTAAAAGGTTATACATCTGTCAGAATGCAGGATGTCTGTGTGCTATTTCGAATAAATTCATATTAGCCCTATTAACGACATAAGACGTCTTGGCGAAAACGTATTAGAAATATTATGATGGGTTTACACCATGTTGATTTCAGTACAAACCTGCGAAATTGAGTTGTCGTTTTTATATCTCAGATTTACATTACCCCAGATCCCCCAGACTACTTGTCATAATTTAGGAAAGTGATTTAAGACGTTCTCTCCTCTAAGGGTAATTTGAATCTTAAATTCTTAACGTACTTCACAGTAAAAACTGCTCCGTCACAGCGGACAAAAAAAAATTAAACATTATTTTTTATAAAAAAATATTAAAAATACCCAACACATCAAGATCTCACTAATACCTTCGGAGTTATGCTGAAAACAAAAATTAAATAATATCGTATCACTATATTGTACCATTAATAAGAAATAAAGGAAATGGTACATTTTGGAATATGATACTCCGACGCCGTTTTCAATAGCTTTTACTCTTAGCGTTGTTGGACTTCAAACAGAAGTTACAGTTTCCCACAAATGATATATCCATAGTATGGAGTTACTTAGTAATTTTGTTTGGTATAGCGAAGGATATGAGTAAAAAAATTGTGTGGGTTTCTTAGTGTTTCTTTGCAAAATAGCACGCTCCGTCAGAGCGGACAAAAATTTTCGATACCAACGTGTGGGGATAAGCCCTGGAAATATGGGTTTATGTGCAAAAATGATTAAAAACAATGAACTGAACTGAAACAACTGAAACAAATTAAGGATAAAATGATTGGTGAATAGTAGAAAAAATATCGATATGGCACAAATGATGGACTTTTGCGGATCGAAAGCTTTGAAATGTAGTGCTTTTACCAATAGGCTGTCATTTCAAACAGGAAGTGATGTCATCGACTCTTAACATGTTAACGTGTTTTGCTAAGGGACATCATCTTTTCCATTCAATCGAAGTTGGACCATGCAGCCGAAGGTAGCAATGCAACCGAATTTTGCCGATTCAATCTGACGGAGAATGCCGAGCCTCACTTTTTGACCAATCGGAGACGTCATCATCACACTCGTTGTACCCTCGGCCAACTTCGTTTACAACTAAAATCTTTGGCAAATGTGACTTGTGCAAAGAGGCCAAGCACGCCGCATTAAAGCGCCATCAAAGCGCCGTCGGTGTGAACGTAGCTTTATTGCTACAATATCAGGAGAGAAATGGCCTGGTAATGCCAAAACTGAATACAATTATGAACAGGATACTCAATCGGCCGGGCGCCAGCCGATGAATCGGTGCAAATGTGACCCAGGCATAAGTAATGTCTTGGTCACATTTGCTCCGATTTTCACTACGGCGCCCTGCCGATTGAGTATTTTGTTCAAAATTGATTACGATATTGAACAAAACAACCAATCGGCCGGGCGCCGGCCGATGGATCGCAGCAAATGTGACCCATGCATAACACCACTTTCAAGAAATTGTGACATTTCTGTTCCAAATCAATCTTGTTCAATTAGTGTTTCAACTTTTATCTCTATTCAAAGATGGCAGCACCTTACATATAGTCAAGCAATCAATCACTTTCAGCTCAAATTCGATTCACTACGTTGCCATGGCCGTTCAGCTTACCACGCTACCATTTGTTTGCTTGTTTGGTCCAGTTTGTTTGTTTGTTTGTTTGTACGGGTTTCTTTGTTGTAGTATTGGTTAATTGATTGATTGGGCAGCCCATACGTGGCAGTTTCGGGATTAAGACTGGATCTGCTACATTGGTGGCAGCGGTGGGATTTTTGAGTTGTTTGTTTGACTGATTGATTGTTGTTCTAGTATTTGTGAAATTCTGCAGTTTCTTGTTGTGTGCGGTTGAGATTTGATGAACTACTCTAGTCCAGTCTTGATAGTACTTGACTGTGATAGAATGGTTATTTAAACTACTGAGAGTGAGCTTTACTGATTGTGCTAGAGGAGCAGGCGACTGGTCATTGAGCGCCACATCTGAAGTTTGTTCGCTTTCTAGATATGGCACATCTTTCTGATATTATGCAGAAACATCAGAATTTGACTTCACACATTGCTATGTCAACTGATACTACATTTTGTTTTCCAGGTAAACATGGAGGCTCTAGAGTGGTTGAACCGGCTCGCATTACTACACAAGCCCTGAGTTCCCGCGTTGCAGAACAGCCAGCTTGTCACGTTGTGACATCTACTTGCCAGGTCCTGGCTGGGCCTCCGGATGGTTGTTATCTCGATGCGCCTGTCATACATTGGATGTCAACATGATTATCCTGAAAATGGATCGTTTCCATTGAATTATTGTGGTCATTACTATCCTGATAGCAGAATTGATATTATTCCCGACATTCATTAAAACATAGAACTATGGATTGAGCTAATAATGAACCTTATGTTGATTATCCTGATAACATGGACTGTGTTCCATTGGATGACGATGTGATATATTCCGAAAAATGGAATGTGTGTTTCCATTGAATTATCACTGTGGTCATTATTATGTGGTAGCTGATTCATATATGTATGTTCCCGACAAAAGGAGCCATATAGCTTGTTAAAGATAGGGTATATGAGCTCTGATTTGGCTTCCATCATAATGATATCTACTCAAAGTGCTTCAACATTGTGACAGTATTGTGTTTGACTGATTTTTCAGCTGTTCCCGGAAGGAGTGCACGCCTCCAAGGATTTGAACTGAAGAGAAGAACTGCACCACTACAGTATCAGCACCTATATGTGAATGTTGTAAATATTGTGTTGGAGACAGAGACTGATATATTTTGTGCTGAGAGACATTGTAAATGTTTGATTTGAGATTATTTTTGCATTATAACTCTGTACACTGGTTTGTTATTGGTCTGGGTGGTCTATTTAATTTTGAGGAATATGCCGTCCAGGCAAGCAGATGACCATTTTCGATGGTAAATAATAGTGATTGCCATAGAACAGTGTGTAACATGTATGTAATTTGTGTAATGCTTTGTAATCATTTTCTGTACATTTTGTGTATGCTACGTAGCCAGATTTTTGTCATTGATCTTTAATTTTG